AAGCCTTTAGGAGGAACTAGACCAACAGACACTGAAACTGTAAACCTAAAGAGACCGATCTGACAAGGCTCTAAAGGGACATGGCTACACAACCTTGATAAATTTGGTTAGACAAAAATAACTTTTACATTCTTGGCTTGAAGCAGCTCTTTTCCAGATTTTTAAAATATATTACAATCATTTTGTAGAGAACGAATATGCAGAAACTCACTCAGACCATCCTTTGTTTTTCTTCATTTTATCTTTGAACCAGCCAGAGGATTTTAAGAGCTGCTACAAATTATTATGATTTGGAGAGAATAGAACAAAACACATTTTACACTGTTATTCAGGAAGGTAGATGACCTCAATACCCCCACTGTTGTTTGTCCAGAAAACTGTAAGGAATAGAAACAAACGGTGAAGCCTTTTTTCTATTAGCATAAAGATTACTTGAAACAAAAGGACAAGATGTAGATTTAAGCATTGCTCCAACCATTCTCAGGACTTCAGTAAAGCCTTTTCCCGTCTTGCTAAAGCTGCTAAGTAGTGTTGCTCTTTGCATTGGGCATTGGTCTTTCCACATTTTGACTCTATCCCAGCGAAACTGATTTCAGAATTCTGAGCTTGGAACCCGTACAATAATAAATTTGTGCTGTTCTAAGTCAATAAATTTATGATAACTTGTTTTAGTAGCAATAGGAAAACAATAATGTGCTAAGGGGTTAATTAGAGGAAAACATAAAAAATGTTTCCTCATAATGCTGCTTGTTAGGGTTTACTTCCCTAGAGATATTCGCTTGAAATACTTTGAGAGTTCCTACTAAACCAGGAAAGAAGATATTGCCAACCTTAGATGCCAAAATTGTTTGGCATCAAAATGAGTTGAAAGCCCAGTAGAGGGCAAGAACTTTCCAGAGCAGGAGCGGGGAGAAGATATCCTAAAAGTTTGCTCCTCTGTAGTCATATATACAGGAAAGGGCTCTAAAATCAAAGCTTTCTCAGCAATGCTGGTTGCTTTGGTTAGGTTGCAGTTTAGCTGCACTTCTTACTGGCTAGAGTTTCATGCTGAGAAGAATGATATTTTCACTTGATGCTTAAGGCTGAGGATCTTGCTGTTACTTATTGGTACAGTACACTGAGTCCTCTCCACGTCTGCAGAGGTAAACATCAGGTTAATTTGCACAGCTTGGGACAAAGATTGGTTGAGGAAAGAAAATATATATTCAGGGCTGGAAAAAGAGTCCTTGTCTGACCTGCATTTGAACCCCTGGCACCGTATATAGTCTCCCACAACCCTCCAGGAGTAATCCTTGAGTGCACTCAGGATTAACCTCTAAACACAGCCTGGTGTGTTCCACAACTTGTTCATCTTTACGGAAAATCTTTCTGAAAGGGTATTCTCCCGTGATGGAAATTTGGAAGGCTAAAGTACCTGAGAGAAGAATGGTATAGATTTATGGGACTCTCTTAACACAGGAGTCTAGGTGGATACTGAAAGGGACCCTAGAGGGAATGGATAGGAGTGGAGCTTAGCCAGAATTGAGGTTTCATGTTGAGGGCAGTGGGAGACAAGGCTGAAGTATAGGGCCTGCTGCAGATACGAGTGCCAGAGGAACTAGGAGTCATACAATAATGACTTGGAATAGGACTGTAACCAGATGCAATTCATTTTACAGATAATGCAATGGCATAATTAATAGAAACTGATAATTGGTTAAATATTTTTGAGTGACGAATAGGTAATGCATGTTTGTGAGTCTGGCCTATCAGGAGAAGGGTCAAAATACTGATGGCAAGAGGGAAAGCTGTCTGGGGGTGTGGTATGGTGGTGAGAAGTGGAGAGATGACTTGGCTGAACAAGTAGTTTGGCCTTTCCTTAAATGTCGGGATTGGATTCAGCTTCCTTATTGCCCACAGGAGAGAACTTTGTATAGAATAGTTACTAAATCCATATTATTGGGGGAGATCAATGATGGTTACAGGGGATGACATATACAAATTATCATTTCAGACTTTTAAGATAAGGCTATCTTCTGAATTCCCATGCTTTTTCTACTTGGACTTTCTGAAATCTAGGTGTTTTCTTATCTATATTTTCCTATCCATTGCAGACATCCATTGAAATGGCCCAGGCAAATCCAGGTGCCTTTCAGGTTTCCTGCCTTCAGAATGTATTTCTGCTAAACCCACCAACAGGTTCATAGCAGTTTTCTTTTGTTCTCTTCAACCTAATTTATGCTTAACTTTTTCTTCGTTTTTCCTCTGAACGTTATGACCATGGCCCTGGTTGTAAACCCAACTCTCATTTCTTAGTCACTCAAAGAAACCAGTGAGATAGTGCTGGATGCTAGTTAACAATTTTTCAGTGGTGACTTTAACCCTACAACTAAGCAACCTAAGATTCCTAGGAGCAGATAAAACCCATACGCAATCTGTCACTGTTTAGTTTGCATGGCCAAGATAATTTTATAAAGTTAATGAATAGCTGGGATGGGGTGGGTGAGAGGCAAAGATAGAATGAATTAAGAGAAACTGTAGTTCGGTGGGAATCCTCTGTTTTGCTCCTTGGAAGGGCACTGAACCTCTTCAGGGTATGGTTTTCCTTATGACCCTCATTATCAAAGTGCTTTTGATAATATATTTACTTACTTGCTTGCTTGATTGATTGCTTTTTGGGCACACCCGGTGATGCTCAGGGGTTTCTACTGGCTCTACACTCAGGAATTACTCCTGGCAGTGCTTGGGGGACCATATGAGATGCCAGGCATCGAACCAGTCGGCCTTGTGCAAGCATCCTGCCCACTATTTCGCTCCAGCCCCTCAAAGTACCTTCCGGAAGGACTTCATTTCTGCATCTCTGAGCTGGACCTTCACAAGTCTCGGCCCTCATTTTTAGGACATTATGATTTGAGTTATGGACATAAATATATTCCAGTCGAATTCAAATATTCAATATGATTTAGATCACATATGCTTCCTTCTCTTCTACTCGTTCCTGGTTATTTCTAGAGTGAAATGTACCTAATTCACTGAGAACTGATGCTCAAATGCCTGTTTGCAGATTCTGATGAAATCAACCTGATCTCACAGGCTGAGTCAGAGTACCTTGCAAACTAACTTCTTTGAACCTCAGTTGCTGGAGGGCCAATATGTGTAAATTTCTTATTCCATAGTCTCTTATTACTTGTCATATTATCAGCTTAATAGAAATTACTATTAATACATGTAATTATAATTTTTATTTATGCTCCTCACTTGAGTAAGAGTCACCATGGAAAGAGATGGTAAAGGTAAAAGGTAAAGGCCCTCCAGTTGATCGTCGATTTGCTCGAGAGGGCCCGGTAACGTCTCCATTGGAGACTTTGTTGTTACTGTGTTTGGCATATCAAAGACTCTCGGTAGCTTGCCGGGCTCTCCGAGAGGGGCGGAGGAATTGAACTCGGGTCGGCCATGTTGGCCGCTTGTAAGGCGTATGCCCTACCGCTGTGCTATCACTTGAGTAGTAATTTTCCTATAAATCTGAGCATTTAATTCTGCATAGAGGGTCACACTAGTCAGTTGCCTATGAGATGGATTTGAGGGACAACAAAGAATTTTCCTTCTCAAATTTTCCTTTTCTACTGAAACTCCTGTTCTTTTTTTCTTTTAATCAGCCCTGGAGGGGGGTGGAGTGGTGGAGGCGGGGCACCTTCCAATCACAAATGTGCTATTATTGTCTGTGAGTTTCTTTTAGTTTTCTCTGTTAAGTTTCTTTTTTTTTAAGGACCATATTATAAGCAATGTATTTGCAATTTTTTCCCTCTTGTCCTTTGGGACCTCACAACTATCAGGCAAACACTCTACTACTGAGTTAGCACCCTCAGCCTAGAAAATGGCTTTATTTGGTGGATCACATTTGTCAGTACTCTGGGTCTATTCTGGGTTTGATGCAAGAGGAACGTAACTGGTTCCAGGAAGAGAGACGCAAAACATACATTCAGGCTTGCATAGTTATTTTTCATAGGTTGTAGCATTTCATAGTTTGGTTGTACTATAATGCCCAGTATTGATTTTTCCAAAAGCTGCTATACAGGTATACAATTTTTTTACATTTCTGAATGTTCCGTACTGGATTTTTGTGTGAGGACTTTCATTTCTTTAAAAAAATCAATGAATTAGTTTACAAGATTACAGAATTTCAGGGAGTATAGTTTAACAACTTTTTGGGCTGGAGCGATAGCACAGCGGTAGGGCATTTGCCTTACAAGCGGCCAACATGGCCGACCCGAGTTCGATTCCTCTGCACCTCTGGGAGAGCCCGGCAAGCTACCGAGAGTATCTCGCCCATACGGCAGAGCCTCACAAGCCACCCGTGATGTATTCGATATGCCAAACACAGTAACAACAAAATCTCCAATGGAGATGTTACTGGGCCCACTCGAGCAAATCGATGAACAACGGGACGGCCTCGAGGGCCTTCTTAAGAGAATAGAATAAAAGGCAGCCATCAATAAAAGGTCCAAGTGACAAGGGATGTTTTATTTATTTTTTATTGTTTTTTTAACTGTTTTTTGCTTTTTGGGTCACACCCCGCGATGCACAGGAGTCACTCTAGACTCATATACTCAGAAATTACTCCAGGCAGCACCCAGGGGGACCATATGTGATGCTGGGAATCGAACCCCGGGCGGTCGCCTGCAAAGCAAACCCTCTAGCCCCTGTGCTATCGCTCCAACCCTGACAAGGGATATTTTAGATACGAGTCCATCTCAATATGTATCTGAGTGTCACCTAAACAGGGTTTTTAGTACTGGAAGTAAAGGATGGGATCAAAAGCACCGAATCAGTCATCTTGTCCCAGCTTTCAATCAGCAAATACTAGTGGCGCACGTAATCAGCATCCCAGGCGTAAAGAATATGGTCGACGGCAACAGACGCATTTCGCACTTCAGGTTCACAGGCAGAAGGTAGGGACTAGGAGGGAAAAAAAGTGTGGCAAAGTCAAAGTTGCCGTGAGACACGGCCCGGTTCTAGTGCGCATGCGTTCCTCGCCTTATGTCCCAACATGCCTAATCTCTTCCGGTTTGAATTATCTCTTCCGGGGCAGCTCTAGTCCAATGGGATTGCGCGCTGAAGCCGGGCGACCGTTAAACGGCTTTTCCCAGAGGTCGTTACATCCGCATCTTGGAGCGAAACCTGTGGAAGATGAAGTAAGGCTCCGGTTGTCCTCCGTGGAGTGTGGGAGGTCGGGGCTGGGGGATTGGGATGCGGGGCGGGAGGAGCTGAGGGAAGTGGCGGGGTGGGGGGCGAAGCGTTCGAGGGGGCGGGGGTCGCGAAGTCCGGACGGCGCCGAGACTCACTCTTCCAGGGGACCCCTAGTTGGGCGCTCTCGGTCGCCGGGCCGTTTCTTTACTCGGTGGCAACTTCTGCAGCCCGTTGACGAAATTGAAGTTAATCAACGACCTCAAGGAGCGAGGGGACCAGCTGGGGGTGGCGGAGAAGGTGTCCTGGCACACCGAGTACAAGGACAGCAGCTCCTGGATCTTCCTGGGTGAGTTGTGCCGCCGTGCGCCTCGGGTTCCCCGCCGCCTGGCTTTCGAGGGAGTGTTTCAGCCTTCCGCCTCTCTTCTGCCGTTATTCCACTCCTCTCCCTGGCTCTCGCGCCGCCCCCGCCCCCCCCCCCCCCCCCACAGTTCAGGTGACACCCAGCGATGGTCAGACGTCACTCGGGGCTCTGCATTCAGCGGTTACTTCTGGCGGTGCTCACAGAACCTATGGGATGGTCCAGGGATGGTGCCAGGGATCGAACCTGGGTCAGCCTCATGCAAGACGACTGCCCTACGTACTACACGAGCGCTCCAGCCCTGCCGGCATGTATTTCTGCTTCTTTTCTTGGGGGCCACACCCGGCAGTTCTCCTGGGTTTCTCCTGGCTCAATGCACCAGGATCACAACTGGCAGTGTCTGGGGAATATATGGTATGCCAGAGATGGGACCCCCGACATTGGCCACGGGCAGGGCAAGCGCCGTACCCACGGTACTATTTCTCCAGCACCCTTATTTCTGTTCTTTTTCCAGGTTTTTATTTTTCCCTCATTTCCTCCCCCCCACAATTACCTCTTTCTCTTCCCCCTCTCCATTTCCTTTGTCACCCCCTCTCCCCTCTTCTCCCCGACCCTTCATGTCCATTTTCCTTTCCCCTGTCCTCCTCTACGCCTCTCCTTATCTCCTTATTTTCCTCTCCCCCTCCCCTTGTCCTCTCCTTCCCCCTCCCCCATGCTCTCCCCCTCTTCTTCCCACGCCCCCTGCTCTCCCCATTCCCTTTCCTCCTCTATTTTTTTAATGTTGTACAGTTTTATTTATTTTTAATTTTTAATTTCGATAGCACAGCGGGTAGGGTGTTTGCCTTGCAAGTGCCCAATATGGCCGACTCGAGTTCGATTCCTCCGCCCCTGTCAGAGAGCCCAGCAAGCTACCCAGAGTATCTGGCTGGCTCGGCAAAGCCTGGCATGCTCCCCTTGACATTTTCAATATGCCAAACACAGTAACAACAAGTCTCACGATGGAGACGTTACTGGGCACACTAGAGCATATATCTATGAACAACGGTGGGACAGTACACTTCAGTGCTTCTTTTTGGGTCACACCCGGCCTTGCACAGGGTTACTCCTGGCTTATGCACTCGGGAATTACTCCTGGGACTATATAGAATGCTGAGATTTGAACCCGGGTTGGCCATGTGCAAGGCAAACACCCTACCTGCTGTGCTATGCTCCAGTTCCTGTCCTCCCCTTACCCTTCTCATCCTCTTATAATCCTCTCCCTTGTTCCTTCTTCGTTTTCCCTTCTCCCTATCATCCTCTTTCCCTCTCCTCTTCCCCTTCTCTCCCCTCCTCTTCCCCTTCCCTTCACTGATTTACTCTCTCTCTAGCCTTCCCCCATGCCTCTCTTCACTTCTGACTTATTCCCTCTCCCTTTACCCTTCCATCTTCCTCTTTTTTGCCTTCCACCACCCCTCCCACCTCTGCCGCTTTCACTTCCCCATGCCCTCCCTCTTTTCTTTTTCCTTACCTTCCTCTTCCCTTTCCACTTCCCCCTTTCCCCTTATCTCTTCCGCCACTTCTTGCTCTTTCCTTTCTCCTCCCATACCCCTCACTCCTATCTTCTTCCCCCTGCCCCTTTTCACTTTCCCCATCCTCTCATTGCTTTGTCTGGGACACATTCCTAGCTGCTTTGAAAAATCTCATAAGTTATACTAATAAACGCATTTATAGAGGTAGGACATGTTTGAATGAGGATTTACATTTGTGAAATGCTTAAAAGTTTTCTTTATAATCCTTAATCTGTGTGAGGTAGGGTTAATATTTATATATTCAAACTGATTTTGCGGGGCAAGGAGATAGCGGGTTAGGACCTTAGATTATTAAACTAGGTCTGATGTCCCACAGCACTAAAAGCACTGCTCAATGCTTCAAGAGGTATATCCTTGGTGGGCCCAGAGCACTGCCAGGTGGCACTGGAGGTTCCCCAATCTGTAGTGTCAGTGCAGCACCACATCCTTGAGCCCTTCCACTGAGTTGTCTGACCCAATATCCACGGAATTGTCCCTGGGTTCTGTTTGTAAGGCCCCCTTGCAGACATTTGATTTTGAAGGTAGCTATGGTGGATAATGAGCAGATAACTTGAACAATTTTTTTTTGTATTTTGGGCACAGTGGTGCTCAGTCTTACTCTCCAATTTGATGTGTGCTAGTACTGTGCCATTATTCTTTCATGTTGAGAAGTTTTTAGTTTGAGGTCTAGAGAGGCCTTTTAAAACCAGTTCCTCTACTGTTTCTTTGATTTTTATCTTGAAATACTGCTTATATTTCATGTTCATGTATTTTAAACTTTCATTTCAAAACTAATACAGAAAAATTATAAAATGTAAGGAATGCCACTCTATCCCCTTAGCCAAGTCCCTGTCTATTACTATAGTATCTAATTGTTATTACTATTTTTACCTGTTTCACATTTTCTGATTTTACTAAATTATCTTAGAGTCCATTGCAAGACATGATTTGTGTGTTTGGACCATACCTGGCGATGCTCAGGGATTACTCCTGGCTGTGCACTCAGGAATTACTCGTGGCGGTGCTTGGGGTAGCACATGGGATGCTATGTGAACCCTAGTCACGAGGCAAGTGCCTTGTGCTGCCCTCCAGCCTAGTACCAAAATTCTTCAATTTGTTTTTTCAAAAGAACAATGCCATCAGGAAATCAACTGTCATACAGAAGTATTATCGAACCTTTCTGTTTTATTCAGTTTCACCTTCTGTCTCAAAAAGCCCTTTGTTGTTTCTGGGCCTTACCCAGTGGTGCTTAGGGGCTACTCCCAGTCCATTGCTCGGGGTCATTCTCACTGGTGCTCAAGGGACCATATGTTGCTGGTGATCAACCCTGGGTTTCTAGAATGCAGTGCAGTGGTAACAGCCCTTTGAGTCGTCTCCCCAGCTTGCTGATAATCTCTTTAGTGTAGCAGAAAAATTGCTTTGTAGTCCTTGATCTGTCATGTAAATTATAAAAATCTCTTATTCTTTTTTATCTTGCCAGAAATTTCAGGGTTAAGTGCTTGTCTTGCATGTGGTTGATTCTGTTTTTTTTTTTTTTCTTAAATTTTTATTAGTGAAACACCATGAGGTACAGTTGTAGACTTACAAATTTTTGTGTTAGGGTTTCAGTTATACAATGATTGAATACCCATCCCTCCACCAGTTCACATTATCCACCACCAACAGTCCCAGTATCCCTACCACCCCCACCCCCCTATCCCACCCTACCTCTGTGCTAATCCCCAGCATCACAGATGGTCCCCTAGAGTGTCTAGAATGACCCCTGAGCATAGAGCTAGGAGTAACACCCGAGCACCACTGGGTATTTCTTTTTTCTTCCTTTTTGGGTCACACCCGGCAATGCACAGGGGTTTCTCCTGGATTTGCATTCAGGAGTTACACCTGGTGGTGCTCAGGGGACCATGTGAAATGCTGGGAATTGAACCCAGGTTGGCCACATGCAAGGCTAATGCCCTATCTGCTGTGCCATCACTCCAGCCCCATTCCTAGTTATTCTTATGTTAATTTTCCCACAAGAATGTTGGAAACAACTTACTCTACTTCAGGGAAAAAAGGTGTGCATTTTAAAACTGGAATGAAGTTTATATATTAATTTTGAGAAGGATTTTTAGTGTTTTGATTATGTTTGCATATCCTAACCAAAAACAAAGGATATTTTTCTGCCAATTTTATTTTTATAGAATTGTTCAGAAGAATTTATTACATTCAGTATTCCATCACCAATTCCACCACCATTACACCTTCTCACCCCCATTATTTCGGATTGTCTGACCACAACTTAAGCCTGCCCTCAAACCAAGTACTGGATAATACATTTTGTATTGCTTGTTATGAATAATGCATTAAAATGATCCAAAAATGTTTTCTTATTTGTATATGTGTGAAGATTTTTGTATCTCACCTTAGAGCCATTAAGCCCAACAAGGGATATTTTTATATTTTTATATTTACTTTGTTGTTATTTACTTAAATCTATGTTTCTTTGAGGAGTTATAAAAAGTATTACTGAAAGTACCATTTATACTTTATTTTTCTTTTGGTGTGATACCTGATGTTGCTCATGGCTTATTCCTGGCTCTGTTATCAGTGTCCCCTAGTGTCAGGGCCCAGAGCCCATATGTCATACCAAGGATTAGGCCAAGTCTGTCACATTTAAGGCAAGCGCTTTGACCCTGTACTGTATCTCCAGCCCTGTTCAAGTCCATTTTCATTATTTATTTATTTACATTTTTTTGTTTTGGCCATATTCTGCGTGCTCCGGGTTTATTCCTGACTCTGCATTCAGGAATTAGACCTGATAGTGCTTGGGGGACCTCATAGAGAGGATAGAACCCAGGTGGGATATGTGTAAGGCATGTGCCCTACCCACTGTACTCTTTCTCCAATCCCTCAAGTTTATGTATTTATTTATTTTTGTTTTTGGTCCATACACGGCAGTGCTCAGGTGTTACTCCTGGCTCTGCCCTCAGAAATTTTTCCTGGCGGTGCTTAGGGGACCATTTGGGATATCGTGGATCGAATTTGTGTCTGACACTTGTAAGGCAAGTACCTTCCCCACTGTACTATTGTTCTGGCCCCTGAAGATTTTTTTAAATTTTATTTTTATTGCTAATTATAAATGTGGTTCCTTCTCCATTATATATTTCTAACCAATCACTGTTTGAATTCAAGAAAGTGGTTTATCCAAGCACAAAAATTTATAAGTCTATAACTATACCTCATGGTGTTTCACTAATAAAAAAATTATAAAAAAAGAAAGTGGTTTATTTGTAACTATATCCTAGTTTAAAAAAAATTAATTAGGCATTGTGATTTTAAGTAAATTTTGGACTCTTAATTAGGAGTATTTTGGGTTTTCTATAGTACAATCACATATAGTCTTCAAACGGATACGGTTTCACCTTTTATTTCTGATTTATATGTTTTCTCCTAATTGCATTGGCAGATAACAGTACACTGTAACACCGTCCTCCCGTTGTTCATTGCTTTGCTACAGCGGGCACCAGTAACGTCTCCATTGTGGGACTTATTGTGACTGTTTTTGCCATAACAAATACGCCACGAGGAGCTTGCCAGGATCTGGTTTGCGGACGGGATACTCTTGGTAGCTTGCCAGGCTCTCCAAGAGAGATCGAGGAATCAAACCCGGGTCGGCTATATGCAAGGCAGATGCTCTACCCGCTGTGCTATAGCTTCATCAATTAAGTAGGTAAATGTTCTTGGCAACACTTGAGCTGTTTTTTGTACTTTTTATTAAAGATTCTAGGTTTTGGCAGAAATATGTGTCTATGATTATGTTTATAATGTATTCATCATTTTTTTTTGTATTTGGCCCTATCCACTGATGCTTGGGAACTTTTTCCAGCTTGGTGCAGGGGGAGTACTTCTGGTGGTACCTGGGGAAGCATTTGGTACCAGGAATTGAGCCTAGGTGTCCCACCTGCAAAGCATATACTGAACTCACCACTGAGTTTTCTGCTTGCTGTTTTCTTTTTCTGACTCTATTAAAAATATTAGGTTTTTGTTTTTGTGCCTCACCTGGCAATACTCATGGCTTTGGGCTCAGGAATCATACTTTGTGGTGCTTGAAGAATGTATGAGATGCCGGGGATTGACCCTGGGCCGGCCTTGTGCAAGGAAAGTACCTTACTAGCTGTACCGTTGTCCCAGTGACACCGAGATCTGCTCAGGGATTACTCCTGGCTTTGTGCTCTGGGATCTCTCCTGGGAGTGATTGAGTATGTTAATTTAGGTGGGAGGCATGAATTTTGAATCTTAATTACTATCTGTATATTTAAACCTTTTACCTTTTTAATTGAATCACTGTCAGATAGACCCTTAAAAAGCTGTTTGAGATTAAGTTTCAGTCGGTGTTCCAACACCCATCTCTCTACCAGTGTATATTTCCCAGCACCGGTGTCCCCAGTTTCCCCTCCCATCACCCTTCAGCCCCCACTCCCCAGCCTTCATCTATGGCAGGCACTTTTCTTCTCTTCACTCACTGTTTCAATGGGACATTTCTTATTAACTTTTTTGTCTTATTTAGGAATGCTACACCAGTGGTGCTCAGGGATCACTCCTGGTGGGGCTCAAGGAATGATATGGGGTACTAGGGATTGAACCTGGTTGACTGCATGCAAAGCAAGAGCTCTACCCACTGTCGTGCTTTAGCTCCCTCCCTATAAGTTTTTATAGTTAACCTTCATTTGTCATCTGGTTCTAGCTTTGTCTTTATAGTCAATATTTAAGTTTTGTTTGCCATCCATTCTGAACATTTTACTTCAAATAGTGTCTTTTTTGTTAAATAGATATGGTGAGATTGTTAACATAAGTCTGGTACACAATAAGAAGACTGGGAAATCCAAGGGATTCTGTTTCCTTTGCTATGAAGACCACCGGAGCACAATTCTGGCTGTTGACAATTTTAATGGCATCAAGGTAAGTAAAAGTATGAAGCAGGATTTGGCGGAATGTTTCTGATGGAATGGTTTGGTTTTATTTTTCCCCTGATTCAGAGAGGCCCAGGGGCCACCAGGATGAGACTATAAGAGTTTCAGGGGTGTGGGGAAATTGTTCTAGGAAGCAATTACATGGGCCTGTGCCCCAGTCAGCATTTCTTTCTTCCTCAGTATTAGCTATTCCCCCACCCACCCAGGGAGGCCTTTGTTTTTTACCTTTCCCTCCTCACCACTGTATTTCTCCAGCCCAGGAGAGTGACTCTTAGAGAATTTGTCACTGATTGCACCAGTAATAAGTAGTTACGAGGACAGCATGGAACGGGGTTATAGGTTTTCATTTTATGGATCCTATATTCAAAGTCAGTCAAAGAAGGGATGGTTTTCAAAACATGTTTTCCCTCTTTGGGTCATACACAGCGACGCTCAGGGTTACTCCTGGCTCTGCACTCAGGGAATACTCCTGGCCTTGCTGGGGGAACCATATGGGATGCTGTGGATCGAACCTGTGTCGGCCACGTGCAAGGCAAATGCCTTACCCTCTGTGCTATCACTCCGGACCCTCAAAAATGTCTTTATTTATTTATTTATTTATTTATTTAATTTGTGTTTTGGGTGACACCTGGGGATGCACAATGACTCCTGCTTCTGCACTCAGGAATTACTACTTGCCTTGCTGGGAGGACCATATGGGATGCTGGAAATTGAACCGTGATTCGCCGTGTGCAAGGCAAATGCCCTGTCCTCTGTGCTATCTTTCCAGGTCCTCAAAAATGTTTTTCAATGGGAAATGTGATAGATGATAAAAGGTAGATTAGATTGAAAGTAAAACTAAAATCAGACCTTGTATTGGAACAATAAAAGCTAGACTTTGGGAATGTTGAGTGCCTAATGAATATAGAATTGAGTATGTATCAGAGAGTGAAGTGATCCTACTGTGGGTAGGGCTCAGACCTTACCAGGCTGACCAGGGTTATGACCTGGACAGCCCATATGATCTGAGCACATTCAGTAGTGGTTCAACATCCCCTACCATCAAAAAAGAATTTTTAAGTATATGCTTGAAAAAAGAAATGGTTTTGTTTGATGTGTGTACTTAATATTCTGTTGTTTGCCCAGAGTTTGTGTTTCACAGCAAAAGTATCAGTGTGAGCTAGTTACAAAAATTCCCAGAGTTTTTTTTATATCATGCCATCAATAGAGCACAAAAATATTTGTATGGCACACAGGGGTAAACTGACCGAAGATGCTAGTGCACTTGCCTCAGGGGCGCAGTAGCCCTCAGTCCTGTGGTTGCCCAGAGAGCAGAGAAAATTGCTGGCTGGGAAATGTGCTCAAACACACCTGTTGGGCAAACAGTTTTGGAGATTTCCCCAGATATAGAATTAGCACGAAGTTTGTGTGGGTCACTTCGTTTCGTAGAAGGGCTATCTTTGCTGATGCGTTGTCTTTCTGTCTGAGATCAAAGGACGGACTATTCGAATGGATCATGTGTCTAACTATAGGGCTCCTAAGGACTCAGATGAATTGGATGATGTGACCAGATTGCTTCAGGAGAAGGGTTGTGGGGCACACAAGCCTCCAAAATTTTCAGATGAGGACTCTGAGGATGACAAGCCCACGAAAAAACGCAAAAAAGGTAAAGTGTTATGACCAAAAATGATTCCAGGTGGTCTTAACTTTTTTGATGGATAAAGCTGTTTATTTAAAGGTAGAAAGGTAAGTTTATTTTCTAATAGAAAGAAAATGTTCATATAACCAAAACTCTTAAGAAATAGTGACTTAGTAAACTTAAGTTTATGTCAAGATACAAATATAGATACTGATTATTTTTCTTTTTTCTCCTACCTGGCGATACACAGGGGTTACTCCTCGCTCTGCACTCAGGAATTACACATGGTGGTACTCAGGGGACCATATGGGATGCTGGGTATCGAACCCGACCCGGGAGTGTGCAAGGCAAATGCCCTACCTGCTTCGTTATTGCTCCACCCCAATACTCTTTTTATTTCATCCGACTTCCCTAGAGAAAAGTAAATTTAAGGAATATCTGATGGGCATACACACTTTCTAGAAAATCTTCTAAGACATTTTCAAAGCTCATGATTTTTATATTAGAGGATGACAATTACGATACTTTGACTCTTCATCTTAAAAACTTTGCTTTTTTTGCAGTCTGGCCATGAATGTTAATATACTATTAAAATTCAAATAATTAAACTGGATGATAATAGTGCAGCGAGTGGGTAGCGTGTTTGATTTATACACAGCCAACCCGGGTTTGAACTCTTGCATACTGTATGGTCCTCCAAGCATCACCACCCCAACTTCAAGTTAGTTTTGGGGGGTGGGAGTCACCTGATGGTGCTTTGGCTTACTCCTGGTTCTGCATTTGATCTAGTGTATTTAGAAAATAGGAAATTTTGTGGGAGAGTTGTATATTTTTTCATTTCCTATTTGTTGCTTTCGTCCATTTTTTTTATCTCCAGACAAAAAGGAAAAAAGTAAATGAAGAAAAGCGGGAGGTACAGCACGATGCACCAGTCTCCTCTTCATCACCCAGAAGCAAGATGCTAAAGGAAAACAATTCCCCCGACTGTAAAAAGTTCAACAACAAGAACTCAAAAAAGCTTCAGAAGTCAGAATTCAGAGAGGGGCTGAAGCAGTGCCACACCTCCCTTGAGGTCAGGACAGCCTACCACTCCTGAACAGAGGCCGGAGCAGAGACAGGGAGCCAAAGAAGAAGAAGCCCAAACAGGAACACAGGTCCTTAAGTAGGAGGGAGGAAAGGGAAGAAAAGAACAGGGATAGGGACAGAGATCAAAGGTCAGATACTCACATTGGCTGGCAGGCACAAGGAGCATTCTAAATGGCATGGTCCTAAGAGTAGCAGTAGGAACAATGATATATCCCACAGGTATCAAATCCTGGCACTCCCGGAACTGGGGATCTCCCAATTCCAGAGATTACAGGCATCACTAAGACTGCAGCCGATTGAGTTGCTTGGTAGAATTGCACATGAAATGGTGTGTTCTTGTGTGTGTGTATGTTTCTGTGTGTATGTTGGGTCCCACCAGGATGTACTCATGACTTACTCCTAGCTCTGTGCGTACGGGTCAATCCTGGCAGGGCTCAGGACTATATGAGGTTCTGGGGACAGAACATAGGACAGCTGCCTGGAAAAGAATCACCCTGTCCACCGAAGTGTCTGTCTGGCCCCAGATTTGAACTATTATAAGAAGCATTTTTTAAAAATCAAAACCAATTATATCTCACTTTTGATATGTAAAATCTTTTGGAGGTCAATGATTTTATTCCCGTGTACATTAATCCTTGAGGGATATATACTCTCTAAAGTCTGATGCCCTTACTTATTTTGGGCGCGGGTGGTCAGGTAACACCTGGCGATTCTTCTGGATTTCTCCTGGCTCTGCACTCAGTTATTACTATTGGCAGTGCTTGGAAGACCGTATTGGATGCCAAGGAGATTGAACGCAGGTTAGCTATGTGCAGTTCACACGCCTGACCTGCTTTTTCATCTCTCCATTGCCTCATGTTCTTAATTTTTAAGCGCAGTTTATTATCCTTGGGAATATATTTGATACCAATCAGATTACATGTGATAAATTGGTTCATATATAGATCCAAGAATCTAACCCCCCCAAGAACGATGAGAAATATTTAAGAAATAGGAAAACATTAGTTCTTGAATTTTCATCTGTGTTGGATGACTTTCCATTTGGCAGATAATACCGATAGAGATGTGTGACTTAATTCGGTTTAAGTAGCGTGACATAGACACAGTAATGAAGCTGTTAGTCTGTTCTGTTTATTTTGAGATGTGTCTTTTCCTGAACCATTTTTTTTGGTTGATACTTTTCCACATATGTTCCTTGGCATTTATTTTTATCGAGAAATTGACACAACAAAATTCACCTCATACAGAAATGTACTTTTTCAAAATTGCCTTAAAATTGTTTTGAAGTATTGTGAAGGATCTGCTGTTAACTTCAGACCTTTATATGTGTATAATTGTCACAACATCCACCACCAAGCTTTGGTTGCTATCCCACCACCAAAAAGACCATGCTGGTTCCTTGCTCTACCAACTCCATCTCTCTGAGAGTCACCATTGTATTCCTTCGGTCTAGCAAGTTTGTTATTTTCTTTCACTTTTAATTTTGTTAGTGAAGCAGGAGAGTTAATATAATTGTTTTTTTTTGGGGGGGTGGGGTCAGACCCGGTAGAAACACAGGGGTTGCTGCTAGCTCTACCCTCAGTAATTACTCGTAGCTGTACTTGGGGGACCACATGGGATTCTGGGGATAGAATGCGGGTTGGCTCTGTGTAGGCACATGCTCTCCTCACTGTACTATTGTCCAAGCCCTTAAGCAAATTAGTTTGAAAACTTGAAAAGCTGTGACGATAGAGAAAGGAAGAAATGTGTGTTCGGGAGAGAGCACTGGATACTCCAGAGTAGAAAAAGGTAAATCAAGAACATAGAGGCAAGTGATATGCATGTTTAAGTGAGTACATGGACTTAAAGAGCAAGCCCATTTTGTTAGTTCTTTGGGGTGTACTTTCTTTAGTAATGCATGCTCCAAATGAGTAAATAGTGATGATTGTCTTTCACTTCCAGACTTAGCTCATGGTCTATTTCAGTTTGTCCAGAATAAAACTTCATCTTTAAAAGTGGCAGAATAGTATTCTAGAGTCAGTATGCCCTTGCTTCTTTAGCCAGTCATATGTGGATGGGCATTTAGGTGAATTCCTATGTTTCACCTATCACGAATCTGCTATGATCAAATCGGGTTATAAATGTCTCTAGATGGGTATTTTTCATGTCAGATAAATGCCCAGAAGCGTTTTTTTTTTCAGGAGTAGTTTTTTTGTGTCACAGTATTTCCTTTTCTTGTATTTTAGGCCATATCTTGCTCTGCTCAGGGCTTACTTCTGGCTTTGTACACAGGAATCAATCCTGACAGGTTTCGGAGAAAATATGCTTTGCTGGGGATCAAATCATGGTCGCCTGCATGCAAGGCACACACCTTACTTAAATACTCTGTCAATCCTTGAGAATTAACCATTTTGTCATAGACTTACAGACTCTGACTCTGAGGGTTGATATCTGTGCTCTGAATTCAGGATTCCATGTATCTGAAAGTTCCATCATTCCTTTAAGTTTGTAAGTTTATTTAAACACTTATTTACAAAGTAGCCTGTCCCAACACTGAGAAAGCCTGTAGATTTTAGTCACAAAGACCTGCAGACCTGAACTTTCAGCAGGTTAATTTCTGGGTGAGTCCTGTTCTGAGATAGTAGAGACTGACCAGATGCATGACTGCGATTTTGCAGTTGGGGAGTGACCAGCAGCCGGGGCTCTGTTTGGGCGGGCCCTGGGCTGGCCCCTAAGGTCTCAACCATGCATGGGTGATAGAAGGAGTTTTGGCAGCTGTTTGTTCTCTTTCAAGATTTTGAGTCATTGAAGCAAGAATGATAGAAGAGCCTTCACGGTATGGTGGGTGATTCGTGGGTATGACTGCAGAGCTTCCAGAAGTACAGGGAGGTAAGGGGAGGTAGCCCATTCCAAGTCAAGTTATCAGTCACAAAAAATTGCATACTTGAATTTTCAGCAAGTTAATTTCTCAGTACAGGTCAATCCTGAAACAACGGGTTCTACCCATAGAGAAGGCAGTGTGGGCTGGCTTTCCCACCGTGTAGAAAGTTTTCTTGCATTCACAGGGTTTCTCTCCTTTGTGAATCTTCTCAAGTTCAGTGAGGTTTCATTTCAATGGATAATCTTTGCCTACATTTCATGCTCTAAGGGTCTGTCTCCTTTGTAAGGTATGTTGTGTATCGGGTGAACTTATTTGTTGTGAAAAGTTTCCATCCACACTTTACATTCATATCGTTTCTCTCCTGCACGAATTATGTTGAGTGAGGTACAATTCTATCAAAAAGGTTTTCTTACATTCTTTGCAATAAACAGTGTTTTTCACGTGTATGAATTCTATATCGTTTAATGAGATACGATTATAATGAGAACGTTTTCCTGTTTACTTTCCATTCACAGGTTTCTCTCCATGAATTTCACTCCTACTCAGTGAGGAATGATTTTTTTTTTTTTTTGCTACTTGAGTCACACCTGGCGATGCACAGGGGTTACTCCTGGCTCTGCACTCAGGAATTACCCCTGGCGGTGCTCGGGAGACCATATGGAATGCTGGGAATGCCTTATCTGTTGTGCTATCGCTCCAACCCAATGTGAGGTATGATTTAAAAGGAAAGTTTTCCTACTTGCGTAGGGTCTCCTCTCATGGTTAGTGAGGTTTGATTTCAATGAGAATGTTTCCCTACATTTACAGGGTTTCTCTCGTGTGAATCCTGTTATGTTCAATCAGTAATGACTTAATGGAGAAAGATTTCTTCCTGCATTCACTGCATTGGTAGGGTTTATCGCATGTGAATTCTTATGTTTAATCAGACATGACTTACAAGAGAAAGATCTTCAGCATTCAGTACATGAATTAGGTTTCTCTCTTGTTTGAGTTCTCATGTAAATGAGAGAGGATTTCACTGTGAATGTTTTCCTACATTGTATATGTACATAGGGTTTCTCTCCTGTGTGAAATCGTTCATGTTGAATTAGATCTGGCTTCCTTGAGAAAGTTTTTCTACATTGTTTTTATTTGTGTTTCTCTCCTGAGAGACTCTGTTTTGAGTTATCTCTCATCCATGGCTCTACTCCTTGTTTTATTTTTATTTTTTCATGGCTCTACTCTTTCTTCAACTTGATGATTGCTTCAGGTGTGATGATAGAATGTCCCAATGATTCCACGTCCTGTAGTTTTCCAGTGTCACTTCACTGAACGGGGTCCTCTGTTCATCAGCCAGGAACTGCCATTCTTTCCACGTGAAGTTCACACGCTCCTCCTCAAACAGCACTGTCCCCAGAGGTGATTTCATTGGGAAAGCACTAGCATCAGAGGACATGAGTATGTATGGGATGGAGGGCTCCTGAGGTACAGAAGGAATGGTCTTGTGTTTTAGTTGTTTTGTTTTGTTTTGTTTTGGGACCACACCTAGCGATGCTCATTCATTATTCCTGGGTCTAAACTCAGGACTTAATCCTGGCAGAACTTGAGGAACCATATTAGATGCTGTGGATTGAAGGTGGATTCAAGAAGTAAAAGACAAATGTCCTACTCACTATTTAGTGCTCTTGCCCAATGTTCTGGTAGTTCTAAGAAAAATCATAAGCCAATTCTTGTCCACAGTCTGAAATCATATTTTGGGTGGTCTTGCCATTCGTGGATGCAAAATGCTTCCTGGGTTCCACAATATTCATTTCCTATTCGAGCATTCCAAAATCTTTGTTCCTGCCATCCAACCAGTCAGTTTGATGTTGCAGGGGCAAACCTGGGAGTCTTTTGTGTTGGGTCCTGCTTTTCCCATGGACAGGATGCCAGGATTGTTGTGGTCCTAGATGAAATTCTCCTTATTCCGCATCTCCTTAATTTTTTACCATTTAAAAAAAAACATTTAATTGTAGCCTTTGTCTATCCAGTGCTTTGTGATGTGCCCTCCTAGGGTCTCACGCCTATCCCTGCATTCATGATAGGAGAATGCAGGAGTCTGGCTACCAAGTGAGAGTTCATCATCAACAGGCACAGTTTTAGGGGGCAATGGCGGCTTGGCCCCCATGAGGGAGACTCAGTGAACCCAGTCTTTCTGAGGTATCAAGGAAGCTTTTTTAGTGATGTTGATGGCTTTTTAATTATTTATCTTCACATCTGGATGGCAATGGCAAATGGTGCGTATAGTTT